GATTTATGCATCCACAACAAATACTTGTTTTATTACCTTTTTGTAAAAATTATCCATTTCTGTTAACCTGATTAATGCGCCCAATAAAACCCAGGAAAGGGAATTTCATACTCACCCAGAGTTGAAAGCCAACATAGTTCATAAGAGCAGCTGTTCTAGACCTGATTGATGCCTTTATTTGCTACATCAACCAACCTTTTGGCCCTTTAATGACAATATAACAACGTCGTGTAGCAAGGACTGAAAGCCACTTGGAATTCATTGAAGAATGTCCAAGCTCAACTCTCAAAGCATTGATATAACTGCAAGAAATTGTTAAGCCCATATCGTTTTATTTTCTGTATTTTTGGTTGTGGACTGAAATGGGAAGAGAACGGTTTTAAAAGCTAAGAATTGTTGAAAGATTACTGCATTTTTTACAAGGAGGTTGCCTGACACTCATTGTAGGTGCAGTTTACACAGCTGTTGGATCGAGTAGTAGAGAAAGCCTAGTTACAGATGAGCTGGAGCCAGGGGCTATTTACAAATGAAGATTTGCCCAGCAATAATCTGTGAAATGGTGACCAGTCATCAATGACAAGGGCATCCTGCCTGCCAACAACTATATGATTGGATCACAGGTAGCTGTGTCCATCTTTCAGTAAAACATCAATGGTAAATGCCTTAGCTTTGTCCAGAAATGGTTTTCAGAAGGATTTGATGGATTTAGAGGCAACAACCAATCCATAAGCCTTTCAGCTAAATTGGCTTCGGTGAAATCACATTCTGTACCTTTGTGTCAATGCCTGCCTCTGAATTGATTGATTATTTCAGCAGATTGTTGGATTAATGACAATGAACTCAAACCTGTGTATCCTAAAATTGACCCAAAGGTAAAATGATCTTCTGAATATTATTTTATTTACTTACAGAAGGTGGGCATTGCTGACTGGATTAGCATTTGTTACACATTCCTCTTTGCTCAAGATGGTGGTGATGAGCTGCTTTCTTGAACTGTTATGGTCCATGTGTTGTCAGTAGACCTACGATGCCATTAGGAAGGGAACTCCAGGATTTTAACCAAATAACACTGAAGGATCAGCAATACATTTCCAAGTCAAGATGGTGTTTGGCTTGGTGGATAACTTGCAGGTGTTGGTATTCCCATGTATCTGCTGACCTAGGCCTTCCAGATGGAAGTGGTCATGCATTTGGAAGGTGTCATCTAAGGAGCCTTAGTGACTTTCAGGATCTTTGTGGTAATTGTCAGAAATGCTGAGGATTTTATTGCTCCTAACCCTTCAGTACCTGAAGTGAGGAGTTTGTCAACTATTTGCTAATCCTTGAAGATGAATTATTTCTTTAAACAATGAAAGTGTTGATGGAATATCAATGGATTGCCAGTCCATGTATAGATGTTTTCTTTCCATCTTTCTTGTGAAGCGTTAAGCTTTCTAACATGTCCATGGAAGACTCTGTAGTACAGTGGAGTTTTCCTGTTTCTCTTTTATTGGCTTCTCTCTTCTTTTCTAATATTGCAGCTTTAAATGTTTCTAACCCTTTAATCATTACAGGCTGGTGACTACTGGTACACTTAAAAAGAATGAATTATGATATTTCATACACCTTTCTCTTCATCTTCGTGCCAATTCAGTGGCAATTGTGAACAGGTAAGCCATTCATTGCAGAAAAACACTTTTCCAGTGTTTCTTTCACTTTTCTTTTGTTTTAGGAGTGTTTATATTTACCTAGGCGCTGTCCTTTCAGGACCTTTTAAATGGGCTTTTTCTTAAATCAGCCCCATTATGTGCCTCTAGTAAACTGCCTTTTTTTTTTAGAAAGAAGGAGGTAAAATATTCACTGTGCTTCAGTACGGTTCGATAGTTTCTTCTTACTTTGGTTGTAGTTGTAACTGCAGTTTTAAAATCAGACAGATTTATGGATGCCTGTTAAGAAAAAGACTTTTCACAACTACCAGGCTGCTGTCATCTTTTCAACCTTTAGTGTGCCACTATCTAGGTGTCATGACCAGCTTTTAATACTCACTTACTGCTACCATGGTGTGCTTTGTAGTTTTCCGTGTTAGTCCACATAACAGAGTCCATAGGGACACATGTCTTGAAATTTATTAACAACACTAATGATTTATGCAACTGCAATATCACAGACTTATATGCGTAGTCTGAGTTCTGCGCTTACTGGTGTGGTTTTTTATGGGGCGGCATGGTGGCTCAGTGGTTAGCACTGCTGCCTCACAGCGCCAGGGACCTGAGTTTGATTCCACCCTCAGGCGACTGTCTGTGTGGAGTTTGCACATTGTCCTCGTGTCTGCACGGGTTTCTTCCAGCTGCTCCAGTTTCCTCCCACAGTCCAAAGATGTGTAGGTTAGGTGAATTGCCCATAGTGTTCAGGGATGTGTAGATTAGGTGGGTTATAGGGGGATGGGTCTGGGTGGGATGCTCTGAGGGTCAGAATGGACTTGTTGGGCCGAAGGGCCTGTTTCCACACTGTAGGGATTCTATGATTACATACACATAGCTGACCAACAGAAGACACTGCGCTGGCCCTATTGCTAAGAAAGAGCGACTGAAAGTGTAGTCGGTCCCCTTATACCAGAATATTGTATGTTGTGATGCCACGTCTTAAAGGTAAAAGTCCATCTACTCTGGAATCTATGTTATTGTATAATACCAACATCACTAAAGCACAGGTTCTATTCTCATTATCGCATTGTTGTTTGTGGGAAGCTTGTGTGTGCAAATAGACTACAGTGTTTCCAATGATACAAAGCAGCTAAACTACAAAAAAAAATTCATTGGCTGTTAAACAACTTTGAGACATCCTGAGGTGGTGAAAAACACATTGCAAATGCAAGTCTTTGTTTTCTAATTTATCGCATGCAAAGCATAATCTTGGATTGTCTGGAGTACAATAATAGTCAGACTCAAAGTATCACTGTGAGAAGACTACTCAGTCCTGCATCAGACAGATACTACAACTGAATGACTTATAGGTTAGTCTTTACCTCATATTGTAAAATGAACTGCTCATAAGTAACAACCACATCATCACGTAAAACCTCTTCCTATGTACTGGCCCACAATCGACGCAGAACATTTTTTGCCTTTCACTTCAGTTGAAGGGATCATGTCTTTTTCTGTTAGCAAATAGAATAATTTTGTACAGGTGTAGGGCTTCAGTCCATTGAATAATTGTTAACTGTTTGTAAGATCTATCTAATTAGTCCCATTCGTCTTGCTATTTCAGTGAAGGGTTCTGAGGATTTTGGTGGGGTGGTGAATACAGGGAAAGGCAACTGCAGATGGTATCTGAAGAAAGGAACACTCTGGATATGTGCAGTGAGTCAATTCGCATCTGAAAGGGAAATGTGAGTTAAAAAATCAGGCATGTGCATTAGGTTAAAAAAAAGGACAAGTGAGAAAGAGATGATGTAACCTAGCATTTTGTCAGTTAGTTATTTCACTGCGTCAGCAGTAAAAAGATTTTGTTGCAATGTTACATCGCTGCCTTTATTGTGTTATAAGCACAACGCAACAACACTGGAGCCTTCTCTTTCTGTTTGGGACTGGGAAGAGCATTTGAAATATTAAAAAGTGTTAGATTTAGAGGAAGCAGAAGGGGAAGACGAGGGAAGCATGCTTTTTATTCAGAGCTTGTTAGGCTTGCAGTCTGCACAATTTCCGCTTTCTAAAATACTACCCTGTGTCTGGTATTATAAGCACTAGCTTAGACATGCAGAAAGCTCCGTTATTAGAACCAATTTAAATTATTGTGCCTCTGGTTCCCGAAGGATAGTCTCTATTAGCAGCTGGAAGCTACAACACTAATGTGGCAAGGTGAAGGCATTTAATCCAATCCCTGCTGTACAGCTTTGGGTGAGAAAACACAGAACAGAAATCCATTAAACCGTCATCTGTTCAATGAGAATTTGTCTTGCAGCTTTATTGATTCTGTAAACTGGCTGTGAAATTGCTCTTGCTGTTCCCACACTAAAGCATGATGTCTTTATCCCTAAAGTGCCTGGCTTGACACTCAAATGTTTCCACAGTTAGCAACTTGCCAGAATAAATAGAATTGCAGCACAGAAACAGATCCTATGGCCCAATAGGTCTACAGCGTTTACACTTCATACTAACATCTCAACATTCTTCATTTGAACACATTTACACACCCTTCCTTCCTTCGCTTAAAGCAAAGTACTGCAGATGCTGGCAATCTGAAATAAAAACAGGAAGTGCTTGAGAAACCCAACAGTATCTGTGAATCCCACTTGCCAGCATTTGGCCCATATCCATGTAAGCCCTTCCTATGCATGTACCCATCCAGATGCCTTTTGAATGTTGTAATTGTACCAACCTCCACCACCTCCTCTGGCAGCTCATTCCAAACACACACCACCCTCTGTGTGAAAAAGTTGCCCCTAGGTCCCTTTTAAATCTTCCCCCTCTCACCTCTATGCCCTCTGGTTTAAGACTCACCCACCCTGGGGAAAAGACCTTGGCTATTCACCCTATCCATACCCCTCATGATTTTCTCGACCTCTATAAGGTCACCCCTCAGCCTCTGATGCTCTAGGAAAAAAAAGCCCCAGTCTATTCAGCCTCTCCCTACAGCTCAAACCCTCCAATCTCTTCAACATCCTCATAAACCATTTCTGAACCCTTTCAAGCATAACAATATCTTTTCTACAGCAGGGAGACCAGAATTGAATGCAGCATTCCAAAAGTGGCCTCACCAATGTCCTGCACAGCCAGAGAGTGGGGAACAAAAAAAGAACACCACAAAAGCAGTTGTTGAATTTGAGCTGAATGTATCCGGTAATTTACAGGGATGGCACTCGGAAAACATGACAATGAAATCTGCTGTATTGTTATTAAAAACATAACTGGTTCAGTCATCTCTTTCAGGGAAGGGAACCTGCCATCCTGTCTACCGAGATAGGGTCCTGATGCAGGAGCACCTCAAATAGGAAATTTGCATCCTTGTTTGTTTTCAAATACCTCTAATGTTTTGCTCCCTCTGTTTCCACGAGTTCCCACAGACATAGCAGACAAGGCTGAATCTTTCCAGGGCCAAAGGTATTCAGATCACCATGAATCAATTGAAATCCAGTTTGAAAACGTTCTCAATTGGATAGCCTGTAAAAGGAGTTTATAAAATGAAAACCCCCCTAGTTCAATACTGGATAGAGATTGAGGAGGGACAAGCATTGCTCTTGGTTTGATTTTACCCTGTGTAGGTCCTCTCCTTCTGACCTCTGGCAAAGGAAGGCTGAGCATGTGCCCTGCTGCACCTTGCCCCTGATAAAGATGGCACAGGTTACCCACAGAACATTGCCCCCAAAAAAGATGGCAGCAGTAAACTGGGGCCTGTCATTGACTAAGGCCTGCAGCTGCTTTCCCGTTTGCTGCAAACGTGGGACACGGTGTTTCTGATTCGTGTCAGGCTGTTTACACTCATGTTTATGAAATATCCCAGTCCACACTGTCTCTATTTCTCTCCCAATCTCCGTTGTTCCATCGATTTTACTTCAGCTTTATCTCCTTCATCAAACCTCCATCATAACGGCTGCTAGAATAAAAGGCAAAGAGAGTGCTAATAGTAGTAAAGGAGAGATATAGATAATGATAGGTGTTAATAGCAGAAGGTAGGTCAGCTCTGCTGACAGCAAACCCATCCAAACAAGGCATGGTGGGATAGGGAGAGGAGGGGAGGTGACCGTAGGTGTGTAATGAAAGTGAAAAACTATGTTATTGTCTGAAATCTGGAACATAAGGATGGTCTAGAGGTGGGAAATCACAGTTGATTTTTGCAAAAACACATCTGCTTCAAGACAGAGATAGTAGGAACTGCAGATGCTGGAGAATCGGAGATAACAAGATGTAGAGCTGGAAGGGTCTAGGCCCGAAATGTCAGCCTTCCTGCTCCTATGATGCTGCTTGGCCTGCTGTATTCATCCAGCTCTACACCTTGTTATCTCTGCTTCAAGACAATGTCTTTTAGGGAAAGAAATTGGTCAGCTTTACTGGGACTGACCTATATGCGACTCCAGGCCCCTGGCAATGTGGTTGACTCTTACCTATCTTCCAGGCATTAGGCAATAAATACTGGCCAAGCCAGCAATGTCCACATCCATGAACAAATTAAAAATATTTTGTTGAACTCAAAGTTGAGCCCTGAAGGCTGTATAACAGAAAATAAGATGCCGTTTCTTGAGACTGCGTTGGGCTGCACTGGAACATGGCAGCAGGTCTAGGATGGAAACGTTAACCTTAGTGCTACATCCTTCTATTTCTTTCTCCCTCATGTGTTTTTCTAGCTTCACCGAAGTGTATCTCTGTTATGTGTCTCAATTACTCAATGTTTCAGGGAATTCCATGTTTGCACTGCGCTTTAGTAAAAGAATCCTGAATCCCCAACTCTAGCTAAAAGGGTCTATCTTATATTTGTAGCCTGTAAAGATGAAATACCTGCACAGTATTGCACATTTTGATACGCTACCTATTTAAATTGAATTGAATATACTTGACACAAGTTTATCTGTAGCAGAAGCTGTTGGGAGGCTCATTGCTCACTGCTGTAACAACCACGAACATGTTTTTGTGCTAGGGACAAAGGGGCCACCTGGGAGGTTCAACTGGAATGCGCTAATAGATATGGGAGTGGGGGATATGGTGGAAAAGTGGAATCATATACCATTGCTGCTTATATAGAAGGAAGAATTCACCAGGGATAATCCAATAGGATTCAATCTACATAGCATAAGGATTAGAGGGAACACGAGGAAAAATCTTTTTATGCAGAGGGACATCCAAAATTCGCTGGCTGAGTTGCTGGTGAAGGCAGAGACCCTAAAAAGTGCCTGGATCTGCACCTTAAGTGCTATTAGCTGCAGGGCTCTGGGCTACATGCAGGAAGATGGAATTAGAAAGGGCATCTGGGTGTCTTTGGGTCAGTATGGATAAGATGAGCCAAATGCCTCCTCTGTGCAATGGCTCTATGGAGCCAATCACCCACAGAAATCAGCTCACCAAAAGGACTATCCAATAAGAACCATCTTAAAAACAGGAAATAGCTCACAGACTGATTAGCCAATTATAGAGTCATATAGCATGGAAACAGATCCTTTGGTCAAACCAGTCGATGCTGACCATAATCCTAAACTAAACTAGTCCCACCTGCCTGCACTTGACCCATATCCCTCCAAACCTTTCCTATTCGTGAACTTATCCAAATGCCTTTTAAACATTGTAACTATACCCACATCCATCAATTCCTCTGGAAGCTCATTCCACACATGAACTACTCTGTGTAAACAAAAATTTCCTCATGTCTTTTTAAATCTTTCTCCTCCCACCCTAAAAAATACATCCCCTAGTCTTGAAATCCCCCACCCTAGGGAAAAGACACCTACCATTCACGTTATCTATACCCCTCATGATTTTATAAACTTCTATAAGGTCATCCCCTTCAACCTTGTATGTTAAAATGAAAAAAAAGTCCCAGCCTCTCCTTATAAATCAAAGCCCCCAGCTTCCCAGCAACATCCTAATAAATCTCTTCTGAGCTGTCTCCATTTTAATAATATCTTTTTTATAACAGGATTTGGAGCAACTCACCACCTCATCATCCAGTAGGAACCAGTTCATACTCTGCAACTATCAAATGAGAGCTGGCTCACTATTTTAGATTTCTCAATAGGATCTGGTTTACTCCCTTTAATTATCCAATAGCATCTGGCACATTGATTGGGATTGTCCAATAGCAACCAGCACACTCACCATTATTATTACATAATAGGATCATGGGGGATTTTTTTCTGATTATTCAATAGCAGTTAGTTCATACTCTGGCTACACCACATGGGCCACTTCATAGGCAGATTGTGTGTTTTAAAATAAATCTTTCTCCCTATTCTCATTACCTGTCCCATTGTGATTTAATTCCCCCTGTAAAAATGTTTAAAGTTGCAGTTAATAGGCTGTATATCCTTTGTGACAGTGGGTTGACTAACTGGCTAGCAGTTGAGGCAGTTTCTGATCTTTAAAAGTCTCTGAAAATCTTCTAAGGAAGTTTTCTTTTCTGAAAAACCGATACCATCAAGACAAAGGCTTGCTCTGCAGGTAACCAACTACAGCCCATTCCAGGGTAAGTGGAAAGTCATTAACACACCTTATCAGACAGGGATAACTTACAATTCTTGGAGATAGCTGTCTCACTAGTAGCTAAGGACATACTGGTTTAGCTTTGCAGCCTCATTAATTGTCTGGCTGACATTGGCTTTAGAGAAGTTTCCAGAAGATGGCTGCTAAATCTAGCCAGGTGATTTGAGCAGCCATCTTGGTTCAACTGTTTATTGTATTTTCAAAATGCTCACTAAACTTACATATAAACATATATTAACAATTGTTTCTTTACTCCACTTATGAGATCACACTATAATTATCATGCAAGATCAGCCACAATAAAATTAAATGGCAGAAGCAGGCTCAAGAGGATTAATGACCTACTTTTGTCCCGGATATCCAACATTAAGGAGAAATATCAGCAACAGATTTCACAATCTTTTATTTAATAATCGCAAGTGAGTAATGTTTTCGTTCTACTCTGGGTTATTTGAAAAATGCTTGGATTATGACTCGCTCTTCTAATGGAATAGTCAGGTGCTTGTTTTTGACTGGTGTAGACTTGCTGGGTCAATGGTTATTTCTCTGTGTTGTAGACCTGACTGTCAATGCTTTGCCAATTGTATGTAAGGTTTATGAATGAGTAGTGCACCACATGGTCTTCCAGATGGCCAACATAGCTCATTGGCATTGTTCAAGATAGATGTGCTGGTTGAGAGGTGTCCTTGCCAAGAACCAATTCACACTCAACACACTTTTTCCACAGGTAATCTTCCATAATCAACCAAAACATATTGAAGGTTAATATGTGATTTCTTTTGGAAAACTCAAGATTCAAATGGCTGACTAGTGATTGAGATCAGTCTGAAATGATCCAAGAGCTATACTTCCACAGCCTGCCAGGTGCTTCATTGAGGGTTAAAGTTCAGAGGCACACAATCCTCCCAAGGAGACAAGCCAAGGCTGCCAATTACTGAGTAGCTTTCTCAGCTTATTTGGCCTTTCTCCAATGGCTGGAGAGTAACTGCTCCTAAGGAAAACATGCAGACAGGAAGTGAACCAACACGATAATATATTGAGCTGATTAAAATAGAAGTGTTAGTGAGGGGACAAATGAAAGCCCATGCCTCTCCTTCCTCCATAAATGTCTACCCTGTGATGTCTAGTCCATGCAAACCATTTGCCAAACAATTGAGATTACAACTGGGGGCTTAAATTTCTTGAATCCAACACATCCCTACTCCAGACCTAATCAAAGAAGCAGTGTTTGAAAATGACTTGGCCCCACAGGTTGCTGTTGATTCAACAATAATGTATTTTCATCCAGCACCTTTTACTGTAATTAAATCTTCCAAGGGGTTTCACAGGAGTATTATAAAACAAAGTATGACATCAAGCCACAGGTATTAGGTCACATGACCAAAAGCTTTGTCAAAGAGGTAGGTTTTAAGTAATGTCTTAAAGGAATAGCGTGAGGTAGGTAGTCAGAGTAGTGTAAGGAGGGTATTCCTGAACTTGCAGCCTAAGCAACTGAAAGCATAGCCATTAATACAGGAGCAATTATAATTGAAGATTTAGGTTACCAACAAGCCACCTTGAAACAACTCACCAAGGCTGCTTCAGCAGCACCTTCCAACCTTGTGAGCAGTTTTAGGCCCCATGTCTCAGGAAGGATGTTCTGGCCCTGGAGCAGGTTCAGAGGAGGTTCACGAGAGTGGTCCCAGGAATGAACGGCTTAATGTATGAGGAACATTTGAGGACTCTAGGTCTATACTCAATGGAGTTTAGAAGGATGAGGGGGGATCTAATTGAAACTTACAGAATACTGAATGGCCTGGACACTGTGGATGTTGGGCAGATGTTTCCATTGGTAGGAGAGAGTAGCACCCGAGGGCACAGCCTTACAGTAAAGGGAAGACCCTTTAGAACGGAGATAAGAAGAAACTTCTTCAGCCAGAGAGTGGTGAATCTATGGAATTCACTGCCACAGAAGGCTGTGGAGGCCAGGTCATTGAGTACATTTAAGATGGAGATAGATAGATAGATAGGTTCTTGATTATCAAGGGTTATGGGGAGAAAGCGGAACAATGGAGTTGAGAAACTTATCAGCCATAATTGAATGGTGGACAAGACTCGATGGGCCGAATGGCCTAGCTTCTGCTCCTATGTCTTATGGTCTTACGGTCTCACTATCTCTAACACCAATAAGACGAAAAGCAAAAGGGAACATCACCAGCTGAACCTTCCCCTCTAAGTCACACACCATCCTGACTTTGGATCATATCACCATTTCTTCATTGTCACTGGGTCAAAATCCTGGAACTTTCTTCCTAACAACATGTGAGAGCACCTTCAGCACACAGAATGCCATGATTCAACAACGTGGCATTCCACCACTTTCTTAAGGATAATTAAGGATAGGCCTTGCTCAGAATGTCCAATGATGTGAACAAATAAAAACGATCGGAAATCACTTGTGATCCACCTTGAGCGTGGTGTTGTTACAGACCAATTTGTTTAACATTTATATGTTACTATCCAAACCAAAATTAAATCAATTAATATGGAGATCTAAATGATGATGAGAGGTCAATATCAATTTCAGGAGGGAAGAGCATATTTGCCAAACTTGAGAAGAGTTCTTGGTGAACGTGATGGGAACAGTGGATGGGAGAAATTTAATGAAAGTGAAATACACTGGTTTTCAAAAAAAGACTTTTGACAAGGTACTTAGCATCTGCAGACTATTGTGTGTGCATATAACAAACAGGGTATACTGAAACAAATCTATACATATACATGTAGTATGTAAAAAACTACATAAAGTGATATGGTAATGACTGTATAACCATTATATGTTGATGTCAGTAGGCATGAATATACAACGAAATCAACGTTTTAACAAAAAAAAGGGCAAAAGTGGTATAAAACTCTCTCTACAAAGTCTTACTGTGTAGCAGGCACCCTGGACTGATAACAATGTAGTAATTTAAACGCAGGAATCATAGTTATAAAATAATTTAAGATCTCTTATAATCTGAACCCTGTGGGCAAATGACTGTTTGTAATCATTCCTTGGTATCTATTGCCCTGGATTTGCATCCAAAACAGAAAACATGTCCTTCAGATTGTGAAGGCTTATGAGAAGGCTTCATGCAGAAGTAACATAAATGTTATATTAACTACAGGCATCATTCGCTCGCTTGAGCTACCAAGAGTCAGTTGGAAGAAACCCTTCAGCGTGGATTGGTTAGAACTCTTAGATCTTTTATTTAATATGCAAGTCTCAGCAATACTCAGTGTACAGGAACAAAAACCAAAACCAGAATGGAGAGAAGAGTGGGGAAGTAATGCAATCTGGAATCTGAAGGATTTATAATCAGCACTAACATGGATAAGAAGTGGTTTAATAATGTTCATGTTTTGCTGATACTACAAAAGGGAGACTAAATACTGTGAACATGCTTTCAGAAACCTATGGGATATGTTTAAAAAGTATTGCAAGGTAACGTAATGGGAACACACTCTGAACTGGAACGTGTTGAATAAAAAGGGTGAAAGGAAAAAACAAGCCATCTAGTGAAATAGTCAGAATGTTTATCTGACAAGAAGTTCAACCTCTTCACACTGATGGGTTGAAAACTGTAATAAATGCCAATGTTATGTGCATCAGATTTAAAATTTGTGTAATGTAATACATTGCTGACACCTCCTATTCAACTCACCTGCTCTCAAAACCCTTCCTATCCTTTGCATTTGAACACAAGATCTTGATCCAAATTTGTAATTCTCTCCATTAGCTTGGATCATTCTAAACTTGCAGCCACTTTCCAAACCTACAATAGTTTCCTTCATGGTAACATGAGTCAAAAGTGAGAAATCTGATCAGGCCCCTCAAGAACATAGGTTTATTTCATGTTGACAATTTATAAAAATTTGTGAATTGTTTGTGGGCATTACCGGTGAGCCAGACACTTTTATTTTCCATTGGTAAATGGCCTTGAGGAGATAGCGATGAACCACCTTCTAAACTAGGGCAGTACCTGTGTAGGTTTAATACCAGGGAAGGAGTTCCAGGATGTTCACCCAGTGACAATGACACAATGGTGATGTATTAACAAGTCAGATGATGGAAAGGAACATACAGCAGGGAGTGTTCCCACGTGCTTGCTGACCTTGATTGTTTCGATAATAGAGGCTACTAATTTGTGAAGCACTGCCACAGAAGACTTGCTGAGCTGCAGAAGCCCATCTTGTGATTGGTACACTCTTACAGTGTCTGTATTGGTGGGAGTGAATATTTAAGGTGGTGTCTGAAGGGATGATAAAATGTGTTGTTTCATCCAGGATAGTTTTGAGTTTCTTGGATGTTATTGGAGTTGCAATCATCGAAGCAAGTGGTGAGTATTCTATCTATTTCCTGCTTTGCGTCTTGTAGCCTTATGGATCATGGCAAAGCTCTGACAAAACAGGAAAGTAAGTTAATTGCCACAGAATTTCTCAGGCTCTAACTCACTCTTCCGGTCAGAGTATGTTTTGGTATGTGCGGTT